AGTTGTGGTAGAAGAAGCCTGTTGACGTCGTCGTAGTTCATCTGGTCCAAGTCGACTATCTAGTTGATGATAATAAAAATCGAATAGTAGAAAGATGATTCAATCCACTTTTTTTTTGAATCAATACAAACTTGGTACATTAGCTAATAATAAATGATCATAGACACCAGGTGTTACTACTGATGTTTTGGTGGAAATATAGATAAAAAAGAATAACGTTTAAAATCATTTGAACGTAATGTTATTGATTGATAGCCTTGCTGTTCATTGTTCGATGATGATGATGATGTTGTTGTTGTAACAGGTTCAGTTCGATTTGAATCCATAGTATTATGATTCATATAATATAGAGTAAAGGTGATATTATCTACAATAGAAAACGAAGAAAAATTCATAGTTCTAAAGAATTTATTTTAAATTCTAATTATTCTAACTAGGGGTGTTACACTTACTGTTACTTGCACTTACACTTACCATGGTAACAGTAAGTGATTTTAATATTAAAAAATTTTCCATATAGAGGTAATATACACTAAAATTAACTGTTGATTATTTATCGGCGCATGATAATCTTCATCACTTACCACTTACCTAGTAAGTGGTAAGTGGAAAGGTACCACTTACCAGTTACCGGTAAGTGGTAAGTCCTGCTTACTAGTAAGTGGTAAGTCGTACTTACTATAGTAAGTGGTAAGTGGTTTGGATTTAATTAGAGACCTGACCAGGAGAAGCCAGGGCGAAGGATTCCGAGAAACCACTTACCAGTAAGTACTACTTACCACTTACCTGGTAAGTGGTAAGTGGTACCAGTTACCAGTTACCAGGTAAGTGTTAAGTGTTATTAGTTACCACTTACTAGTAACAGTAGTGGGAATATGACAGTCCTAATTCTAACACACTACAACGAATATTCTAAATATAAAAATGTACGATTTCATATAAATCCAATGGTCTTTTTTTCTTTTGTTATTGGAACTAAAGCTAAAACAATGATTAAAAATTGTTTTTAATTAATTTTATTTAATATTG